AAATTAGTCTTTTGATAAATAATAAAACTGTTTGCTATATAAACATATTATTACAACATCATGTATACTTTACATGTTGTTTCACACTGATGGAAGATTTTTTTTTCAATTAACGAAATTTATTTTTTCTCAAACATAAAACACATTTTTTCTGTTTTTAAATTAATTTTTATCAATTTTTATTTCACTAAAAAAAGATTTTTTTTTAAAGTTAGATTTAACCAAGTAGAATTAAAATTCATTAATATTTGTTTAATTTGTTGATTAAACATATATAATAATTAATTAACTTTTCATAATTGATAATAAATAAACAGTTTTTCTTTGTTCAATAAAATAAGTTAATTATAATTAGAATTGTTTGATGGTAAATTAATTAACTTTATTGAATTTAATGAGATTTATTGATACTAATTAGTATTAAAGAAAATTTTAGTATAAAATAAAAATAGATGATAATATATCTAGAAGTGGAATATTTTTAAAGAAATCATACATTACTCTAACCTTCGAGAAAGTTGAAATAAATCACTTGGATCTTCAATTTTTCAAATAACTCGTAATGCATGATAAATGACTGCTCTTCACTTAATAGTTGACGTTTAGTAAAAAATTCAAGTAAAACACGAAAGTTATCCCGCCAGCTTTAGCTTTTTCCAATGAATGAAGATTTTCATTAAGCTGGCGTGAGGATGAGATTTTTTCTTCGTAAATTAAAGCCATAAAACAACATAACAGCAATCAACAAAAAATTATCACTGAAAATATTTCCCCTGTTTTTCGATTGAAAAATTAACAAAATACTCCAGCTAATTACCACTCCATCATAGAAAAAAAGAAAAATTCATATCCACACGAAAAAGAAACAAGAAAAAAGAAAAAAATGTTAAAGGAGAAAAATTGTTCTAAAATAAAGGTAAAAGAAATTTCATAATAATTAACTTGTGGATGTAATGAACTAAAGAAAAAATATCCATTGTGCATACAAATATAAAATTTTCACTAAGACCATGCATTTATTACTTTAAAGATGTCTTATACATCCTCATTAACATAACTTATTTAATTTATTAAATTTTAATCACTATTATTAGAAGTTTCAATTTATTTCAATAAAATAATGATTGTAAACATCTACATGCTATGATAGCAACTCCCTTTACCATTTATTTATAAATGTAAATTTTTAAAAAAATTTATCAAAGAATGTTCTATCACTGAAGTGCAAATCCAAGTTGTAGACACTTGTAACATGCTAAGCCTCTTCAATCTTATATACCATAAACAAACTATAGATTTTTTACACACTATGAGACGTCTAAAAAGTCTCTACAAATCATGCATAGTTTATTAATGGGCTTTTTACATTGAACACACTTTAAGTGTGTTATTTTACTACGTTTGTGAAATCTTGGGATTTGCAGTATTTTCTTTTTCTCTTCTTTATTCTTATCTTGTTGAAAATTTCAACCAGTTTAAAGAAGCTTATTAAACGACTATTAAAAAATGTGAAATGGTAATTTATTGCTCCAAAGGTATCTAATGAGAATAATATTAAGCAGACTTTTAATTCCACAAGACATTAATACGTTAATCGCATATGTCAGATTAAATCCAAGCATTGGTCTTAACATTTTTCTACACCAGAAGACAAATCTATTTTACATGAGGGTAATATTTTATTTTTTTCACAGCACTGCGGAAAATGTCACTTTGTAAAAATCTAATTAAAGGGAAAATTCAAATTTTTCTTATGAATGTTGCAAAAAAAAAAAAATATGCATGTATGAAATATAAGTTATGTTTTGTAATAATTCATTTGTTTATACGAATTTCATATGCAGATGATATTTTTTTTGAATTACACAAAATTGTATTTCTTTTGAAATAAAAAATAATTTAAAACGATTATACTCTGGTTAAGATAATTGTATCGTTATTTTTTAACAACATTTAAAAGTTTAGATCTTTTACCAGGCAAAACTTTTTTCATTTTTTAATTACGTCGATTCTCCGCAACAAAGTTACGTTAAATAAAAAAGGAAAAAAATCTTGCAAATTGTTTTGTTTTTATTTCTACATATTTTTTTTTTTTTTTTTATTAAAAAATGAAAAAAGTTTATTGATAAAATTTAAAAACTTACATCTTTAGCTTAACTTTCATATTCAGAGAAGCTTTTTACAAGCATTTTCGACTCAACTATTTATACCAAAAGCTGTCAAATTTACTTTAGCTTCATAATGTTATTATTTTAGACCAGAATTACAGGAAGTATTGAAGAATGTGGGTTACTATCATAAAAAAAATTCAACGAATTTTATTCTTCCTCACAATACAAACCACGTGAACGGATAAAATAAGAAGATGCTATCTGTTGCATTCTGATACAACAATTACAAATACATTTTATTAGAATAATTATTAAATAATAGTTATCATAAACTGGACAATTATTTAGAAAAATCTATTTCCTAAGTTGAAAAAAAATCAATTATAATTATAAAAAGCTCTAAATATATTGTGATTTATTTAATGTCATACATTTCAATAAAATGATAAAAAATTTTTAGCATGATTATCTAGAGGAAGATTAAAGCAAGCTCGAAGTATGTGTGTAATTAAAGTTTGCGTAAATTAATTGGTAATTATGGAACTTTTATTATATAATACAGGGAATTTTCTTTCTTTAATGATCTTGATAATAATAACAATAACAGTAACAATTATTATCACTAATACTAATAACTTTTGTTTAGGTTGATGATTTCTAATTTTATAATTACAGTTTACTTTTCGTGACCTGATACCAAATTTTTATTAGCTTTACATGTTAACAGCATTAATCATTTATTGATATCAAAGGGATTAATGTAAATCGCATGAGTCAGCGTAACGTGAAAAAAAAAAAATAATAAAACAAACTATTTTTATTTGTTCAAGTACTAAATATTGTAAAACAACATTAAGGTTGTGTATACATTGAACTTGGTAATTTTTATTTTATTCTATGTTTATCTTATTGACAATTAATATGTCCACATAACTTTGGGAATACATAACAATATATTTATTGATTATTTATTCATTGTATTTACTATAAAAAAAAAATTAGTTATATTAGCATTCTAAATAATTTTTTTTTTTTAATTATCATTATGTGTTTAGATTATCAATATTTATATATTTTTAGCCACTTATCACATCATTTAAAAGCAAAATATTATGCTTTTCTATTCTCCAAACGTATACACTTTAAAATTAAAATTTCTTCCCCCTATAATCTGAGTGAAGTATTATTATTTTCTAAACCTACGTGCTAGAAGTGACTACTCAAAAAACATTTTTATTTTAATGCAAATATTTTTTTTATTGTTAAACAAATGATTAGAATACAAAAAAAGTTGTTTATGGCTTTGAAAGACATTACTTTTCCCTTTTTAATTGACTTTTCCATTAAAATAATTGGCAATAAATATTAGAATAATCCATATTGATTAGGATAATTCTTCAAAGCTAAATTATCAGTAATAAAAATTAATATTAATAAAAATGATTATTTTATAAAATTATTATTCTCTTTCATTCTGAGATGAATAAGTGCTCGAATAAATTTGGTTAATAGTTTTATTGACCCTTATGAAGACTTCGAGAAATTCGAAGGGTTATTATAACAGAAAATGAATGTATTATGACAATTTATAAGCATTTTGCTAATAATTATCGAATGATCATTGAAGTAGAAAATCGAAGTAAACGACATATGTACATATGTATGCACATTTGGAGTTAGGTAGATGGTGGTGTTGTTGAGTATCAAGAACTATAACGTCAGAGTGAGATCGATTTCAAACAGCAAATGGGTAACGCGTGACCATCGTAACAACCTGATGCACGTAGTTTCCATCTCACTCACACTCGTTGATTTGTTACCTAACTCTACGCCCTCTTCTATTCCTTTACCTCCATTTACACTTATCTACATATATCCATACATTCTGATATTTGCTTTATGTGAATGATCTTCAAGAGTAGAGAATCACATTTTTACATTAAACTTCTTATAAATATATACGCATAATATTGAGACTGAGAAGAGTAAAAGCATCAACCACGGTTGATCCTCTTTTTGCAGGAGTCAATAGACATTGTAGAAGCAAATACTCTCGATCCAATAAACATTACAAAAATAAAAAAGATAAAAGTCTTCTTTTTCTTTTTTTTTATCAAGAAATCTCTTCATCTTCTTAACTACTTTTATTTCTTCTTGTCGAGTCAAGAGACAACAAAAAAACTAAAAGCTGTCGTGTATGGTTTGATGTACAAAAATTCAATTTTTCTAGCACTATGGTATTTTATCTGATTTGAAAGTGAGTTATAAATGTGAGACGATTTTTATTCGTATTTTTAAGATACTTTGTAAATGTTTATTTGAAAAAAAAAATCAACTAAAATATCCTTTAAATAAATAATATGATCAAAATAAATTGGAATAATTTTTTTAATTATATGTAATCTTATGAGATCATTTCAATATTATTCCAGTGCTTATGATTTTATTTTATTTATGGTTATGATTTGACGTTAATTGTTGGAAAATTGTATTAAATTATTCGTCAATTAAATCAATTGATATCATGGAAATGATAATTATTATTGGAAATGTATTATTATTTGCCTAAGGATTTTAAATTGATAAATAAATCAATAATGGTTACATAACTTTTCTAATTATAAGTAAAAAAGAAATCCACACAAATAAAAAATGTATAATAATTATAATAACAAAAAAATATAAATACAAATAATAATAACTTAATCATTACAATTATTTATTAACAAACTTTCATCTCATAAAGTTTGTCAAAAGAGATTTGCTCATCGCTGTCAATTTATCGATAAAATGCGCTCATTTTTTTAAGTAAAATCATTAATATAAATTATTTGATAATAATTTAAACAAGTGTTTAAATTAATTAGACTTGAAATAAGTTGATCTTACCTCAAGTAATGCTTAAAATTATTGACACTTGAGTGGTGATGATGAAGATCCTTTGAACTTTATGCATGACACAAAGTCAGTGAATTTTTTTTTCATCACTTGAATGAATTATAAAGCGGAATAAAATAACGGTAATTTTAATTTTAATATTTTTAAAAGCATACGAAACGTTGTATTGAAATGAGTTAGAGTGGAGTTGTAAACCGTTCATAAGACGCGCTCCAATACATCTAACTTGTATGAATGATCATACAGGACTGAGTATAATAGGGTGGCAGTTGGGTGTCCGGCGCCGTTCGGCGGTGAATCGGGTGGATGTTGCGATGCCAACAGTTTTGCAATGTAACTGAGCATGCGCTTGTTTATTAAATATACACAGGTACAGTCGTTAAATAAATCTTTTTTTTTTTGTTACAAAATCCGCATTTTTATATTACAACATTTTATACTTTTTGTTCTATTTATCCTTTAGAAAAATACATACAAATACATATAATTGTGGTATTATTTAATATAGAAATTTGTTTTACAGTATAAGCCGGCAATATAAAAGATAGATTTTGAATTTCGTTATTTAAGTTTTAAATATTTTTTGTATTTCAAAAGAAAGACGATTTTGTTAAATTTTTTCATTTGTTTTCATTTGTTTTTTTTTCATTGTTTCAATATTTTATTATTTTTTTTTTTTTTTTAGTTAATATTTATATTATTGCGAAAAATAATAAAAATCATCGTCTTTTATTTTATATCCCATAGAAGTATTGGATCCTCTTTCAAGTCAATAAATTTTAACTCATTTTTTAGAGTAATAATTTAATAATTCTAGAAAAAGTATACTGAATTTTCAGATATATATTTTAAACAGAAGATTTATTACTACGAATCAAATTCTTTTCACTGATTCAATTTTTTACAAGTATCTCTTACATTTCAAAGTCGTTAAAAGTAAAGCGCTTTACTCAATGTATCGATAAAAAGTCCTGAAACATTTCCAAGACTTAATAAAATGATAATTTACGAAAAATTGAATTTTTACGTGAATTAAAAAAATAAAAAAAACACATAAACAAAACAATTCTGTTTAGAAATATTACCAGCCAGTACATATTATTTTTATATTTTTATCAATAGTGTAAATACGTTATTAAAAAAATAATTGTTTCAATTCTCAACAACATTTCCACAGTTTTATTTTCCTAAAAAGTGAGCATTTGAAAATAAAATAAAATGCCACCATTGTCTGACTTTTTATTCGAGAATTATATGAGCTCAGAATCAAAAGTGACTGTTTTATTTCAAAAAGTGATTACATGGTCGAAAAATCTATGAAAATAGAAAAATAGTATAGATAAAAAAAAAAGAATATAATTTAATTAAATATTAATCGTTGTATAATTATTTTCTCAATTTAAAATGCATAAATTCAAATATCCACTGACGTAGCATACTTTAAAAAACATTGCTAGTTAATCATGAAAGTAGTAATTAAAATAAATCAATTACAACAGAATTCAATAGACAAAAAGTCGTTGTCATAAATTATTCAAGTAATTGATTTATTACTTTTGAATCCACAATAAATTTAAAAAACAATGAAACCAATGTTTTTTTTTGTCGTCATTATTTATGGTATTCAGTTAATTAGTAATAATCGTTTAATCAATATTAAATTCAAGGCTCAAACTAAAAATGATTTGTTATATCCCATAAAATGGTTATATGAGGTAATAGAAATATTTAAAACAGAGATAATTATCGAAATAAATATCAAGTAGAATTTATTTCTTCCATTCAATAGTAATAATTAACGAATATTGAATTAATTAATAAAAGCAGTATGCTTATTGAATCAATAAATGACAGAAAAAACTATTGGAACATTTAAAAGAATTGAATTTCAGTATGCTAATTGATAATATCGAAAGAATAAAATTTACATGCTAACGAAGTTGAACTGATCAACGAAACATTATTTTCCAAGTTGAAAAATTTCACTTACGTTGAACTTTTTTAGATATGAATAAATGATAATTAAATTAAATAAACAATGAGATATCAATAATGAAATTAAATTAATTAGGAAAAATTTAAAGTTATTTATCTTTTTCAATGAGACTAATTTTCTTGAGATGGATTATTTTTTTAATTTCCCATCATTGTTTAATTATAAAAATAAATAGCCATCATTAATTTGATGAAGTTAATTTAAGGAAATAAATGAATAAACTTTCCCACAAATTTAACTCAATAATTTTTCATCATTGCAATATTGTTAAATATAAGCCATAACAAAATTAGCATTTTTCAGGTTGATAAAAGTATAATACAATTGCCGGGTTGTTTTCACTTATAATCTACTTATGTACACCTGAGTCAAAGCGTTAAATAGTTTGAAAAGTATCGCTTTGATAAAATAATCAATGGACAAACAAAAAATTGATCAAAGCGAAAAAAAATGCGAAAATAGATAATATTTTTTACTTATAGTATTTAAAGTTTTTGTTGAAGATTATTTATTGTCACATGACAGTTATTATTGTTTTGAAAGCTCCTACAAACAACGTAGATCGGATAAATTTTTTTCGGTTATGATGTTTTTTTTAAGGATAAGGGCAGAAACATAGGGGAGGTGAACTAGTATGATGAGGGTTGTTTGGTTGGAATGAAAGATGAGAAATCTCCTATTTTTATCGATTAAACTTGTTTATCTTTCACATAAAAGACATTTGAATAATGGAATTCCAACAGGATATTTGTATCTACAATTAAACTAATAAAGAGTTGAAAAAGTTTCTGCAAATATGGTATGGAAATAGTTTGAAAAGTAAGACAAAAGTTAGTAGTTTATCTACAGTGAGTATAGATGTAAGTATCTATGATAATGATATTGAATATGAGCTATAAATGTGAGCTTATTTCTATTTTGTGAATGAAATAGCATCGTCTGTAGAGTAGTGAAAATACATTGAAGTGATTCTCCAAAGAATAGAATATTCATTAATATAAAATTGAAATGAATAATATGAAGATAATAATCAGAAAGTAATTAAGAACTTTTAAGAGTCATAACAAACTATTTAAACCCTTAACTGAATAAAGTGCTAATTTTTATTTTATTAAATCTTTTTTATTAAAAAATTGTTTTAATATTACAAACAAATTAATAATAAGTCACGAACATATTAAATAGTTTGTTCTTATTTTACAATTATAGAATTTTTTTCATATTTTCTGCATTGTTTACAACTCGTAACTGTATTTTTTTATAAAATCCAACAGTAGTATAAATTGCATCTACATATTTAAACATTTCTAGTTTTTTTTTCTTAGCATTTTTATTTACAAACAATTATTTACATAAAAATTTAATTTATCTTTTGGAGCTATGCCAATATAACTTGGAAAAATTCACAACGTCAAATTCAAATAAAATTTTTTGTTATTGCATATTTATGTAATATTTGATATGTTTTATAACTTTAAAAACAACTTAAAAAAAATATTCTTATAAAGTTCATAGTTACGATTGTCAAGAAGCTTTGAAAAAAAATTTTTTTATAATTGTGTAATAACTACTGTCAAAGTTATCGCATTTAAAACAAAAATGATTACATTTAAATCTTCATTTACATAATTTAAACGATAAATATCATGAAAAAAGTATGAAACTTCTGTCTACTCATTTTTCTTCACTCAAGTTTCGTAAATATAATAAAGTCCAACTACAATATTAATAAATAATGAATAATTATAAATTATTAATTCATTAAATCGCAATTCAGTCAGTTTTGAATTAGTAGAGTTCTTTCATTCTCTCAACTCAGAAAAGCTGTATGTAAAAATAGAGTAAGATGTATGAAGATGAAAAATATTAATAAATAGATAAGAAAAAAAGGGAAGAGGTTGAAGTAGTAGCTGATGAATTAAATTGATTTGTAGATAATTAAAGGTAACGTTCACTACATATTAAATAATTGCAGACATACATCCGAATGAACATGAGACAATAATCGAGACTTATTTCACAAACTTGTCACGACTCTCTCCAATATTCTTCGTCGTGCGAATTTATAAATTGATATATATCTATATATATATATATATATATATATATTTAGTTGAATTTTTGAGTTAAGGGAAACTTGTATGCCCAATACTGTAATAAAATCGTAGCCTACAATCCATTGATATTCTATGCCGGCATGAGGTGAGTCATCTATCGGTATTCACTCTTTCAGTTTTCAATTTCATCTAAATTTTAGAAGCTGATGCTGCATCATAATATTTTTTATTACTTCAATCAGTTTACCTTTACTATCTGTTTTACATTTCCCTACAAAAAAAATATTTAAAATCATTAGTGAATGTTATTACAACTAGTGACAGAAGAAAATGAAGTGGAAGTTAACCACGATTAGAATTATATTACTTTTTACTTTTTTTGTTTTTTAAATATTTTTATTTTGAAAAAATTCCAGATAAATAATGCGAATGTTTTGCAACTGTTCCAATGGATTACACAAGGGACTTTTTAAATATTTCTTTTTTGGTTGATAAAAGTCAAATCTATGTAGAAGGAAAGTGGATTTAAAACTTTAATTTCTGTTAAAAACAAAACTTCGGAAGAAATGTTTTTTAACAAGAGGGAATCATCCATATAAAATGCATCGAAAGCATTTCGTAGGGAATATTTCTAGTATTTCGAAACTTCTAAATTTATTGTCATACAATGTTTTGTTCCAAGGCTATTGAAATTTAAAGTTAAGAATGTTATTTCTTCTACAATGATTTTCATTATTTATATCAATAGTATCAAATAACTGAATAAGTATTCTATTTCTTTAATTTTCTTGAAAAAAAACTTCTCTAAAACTTTCTAGAAAATAATTATCACTATTTATTTTAAATTGAAGCAAAAAGTTGTCACTGACATGGGTTACATGGTGAGAATTTTTAAAAAGAATATAATTTGTTGGAACCACTAATGATAACAATAATATCAAAAACTACAAAATGCATATGATAAACATTTTTAACAATCATCAACTATAATTTACATATAAAATTTGAATATTGAATACATTGTCCATGTATTATTTTAATCACATAAATTGGCAATGAAATATATTAAACAAAGTCATAATATTTTCTATGCTCTTCTCTCCATGTCTGCATGTATAACACACTAGCTTTAAACTCTGATTTTATTCTTGAAATCTTCAAATGGGATACCTTCGTTTTATCGTGACTCCAAATCGCAACTGATATCATACTCCCAGACACAATTTGAGTTTTACGTCAGTACAATTTGAAATAATTCTTGTTACTTTATATTAAGTTCAAAAATAAAAACTCCAGAATAATCATTAATTCATGAATGCTCATAAAAATGAAATAATTGATATTGTAGGATTCTTGGATAAGTTTATTTTTCAATTTCAATCATGATTTCCAACTGCAGGCAAAATAATTCTCAAGTGATTGCATTAATTGCAACAAGAAGAAAAGTTTCCAGTAATCAATAGAAAGTACAAATAAACTGTCGTAATAAACTTAATCAGTAAATTGAATTTTATAAAAATAGTAGTATATCTGTTCAGCTCATCAGTTAAAGTAATTGACAACAAAGTAGTAGATAAGATGATCGTGCTAGAACATTTAATTTTTGGATTTATAATATATCTAGCTCGTTCTGCTTTGCAACTCTCCAATAAGGATTATTCAAAGCTGCTTATTTTCAGCTTTTTATTTCATCTTTGTTGTCTTCCATAACAACTATACTTTCATTTAAGTCAACCTGTTTCCATGTAAATTGACTTTTTTCAGCTATCCAGGCAAAACAGAAACAAAAAACCCATTTTCTTTGCTAATAAAGTTGATGCATATTTCAATGGCAGATTTATTTCAAAAGATTTCATTAAAATGATCAAATAAACGTGAAATAGTATTATTATTAGTCATGATGTTGATAGTAGTAATACGAGTCGGAGATGTGATAGGACTTTTTATTATTTTCTTTTCAATTATTCTTGAGAAAAAGATTTTAATAATAATGGAATTGTCAAAGGATATTTATACATTTTAATTAGTTTACCAAAAATACAGCATCTTTTGTATCATTTCTGGCACTGACAAGAGAATTATCATTTTTGTTATTATGAGAATAATTCTAATAATAATAATTGATTAATTATTAATCAATCAATTACAATTTTTACTTTCTATCATTTTTCATGATGATTTTATGTACAAAAATTGATATTTATTAAAGTATTAATCTAATCATGGTCATTATATTTAATTAATATTTTATTCAATAGAATTTTGGAAATCATTTAAAAATAAGCTTGAAAAAGTTTTATACTTCTTATTTACATCCCTTTTTTTCACAAAATGTTTAGAGATTTTATTTAAAATAAAGTAGTGGTCTAACACTATCATCTTTTGTTGTTCGTATATTCTTGAGCTTATGTTAAGCTAAACATGTTTAATTTTATTTTCGTTTAGATTTAATCAATTTCTTCATCTTCAAGTACATATTAGAGTTTATTTAAAAAATCAAATAATTTGTATTTGGTATTACTTTTGAAAGACATTCATTCTTTATTTGTAGTTTATTTGAATAATTGAATCTACTTTATTTTAAATTCCAGTTCAAATCGGATAAATAAAATAATTTTTCATAAATAATAAAATTTTACGTTGAAATAACAATGCCAAAGAAATGATGCCAAAAATGAAGAAGATCTGATGAAAAATTTTAATTTATTTACCCTACTTCTTCTTTCTTTTAAATCAATATATATTTATATTGTCAAAATGACTTTAAAATATGAGCATACCAATGATATTGCACATTGTTTGAGATAACTACAGATTCACTGCATATTTAAATTAACTTTTTTTTTTAACTGCAATTTTTACAAATCGATTTTGATGAAATATTTCTTTAAATTTGTATTCTCTACCTTTTTTGAAGAATTAAAGGTAATTATGTATTAAGTGCACGAATGAGAAAATGTCACATCCGGCAAAGAAAGTTATCGATTCACTAAGATCCTGCAGAAATTTCCATTACTATCAAAGACGAGTAGTAATGTCAATCCATTAAACTAGTTGAACAAAAAACTAATTGTAAATTTTAATATTCTCTTATCATAACTGTATATAAAACATATTTTTTAGATACAGTTTTAAATTTCCATTCCGTAGTACAAGTCAAGATTTAATGCATCAAAGTAAACATGTATGCATTTCATCATCATAAAATTCATGCAATTTAATGGTTCGATAATTTCCAACACGGTTTGAACTCATGTAAGCGGTTTAAATATCATAATTTCAGAATAAATAAAAAACGATTAAAAAAAGTTCATATAATTATAAAATTTACTTCGTTTTTCAAAGAAATTTATTAAAAATCTAAAAAACTTTATTGCATTATTGATTATCATTAATTCCTTATATTGAAAAGGATATATTTATTTCGTTCCTGCATACCAATTATCGATTATTAAATAGAATTTAAAAATTCCAATGGTCAATATGGCTTTTATTCACATAGAAAATATTCGATTGATTGCTAAATTCAATAGCAAATAAATTAATTAAAATTGCAAAAGTATTCTGACAACATTGAAAAAAAAAATGTCGATCTATTGGTGGATTCTAGCAACATTTTTCTCTTTCGATTCCATCAATATCCACATAAGCTGTCATTCAGTTACACAAAAGCGATTGAATGCAATGATGAAGCTGAAAAAAAATATTCCATATTTAGATAACACGCACATCTATGTGTATCTACTCCATGAACACAATAGCACATTCAATGTTCAAAGCTGATTTATCCTTATGCCAAAGTGATCTAAATAGAATTATTGTGAAGGAGCTTACAGTTGCTCTAGGAAATGGAAATTACTGATGTTCAATAATAATGATGGAATATTATTGACAGTTGATACAAAACATTGAGATAAACTGCCAATGTTGATGATAATACATTCATACTTCATGGCAAACTATTGGATATGATGATAACTTGATTCTATAATGTATTGATCAATTAATTAAAACATAATCATGCCAATATATTGTTCAATAACTCGTTACTTATATTATCATATTACTTATGAACCATAAATGTAAATCCATTAAATGTAAATAAAACTAATTTATATCTGTAAATTTTCAGGTTGAGCATACCAAAATCCTGATATATATATATCTCAGTTCAATCATGCCTCAATGTAATGACCCAGAAATCTTTCAATAGCAGCAAAATAGATGAGAGAAAAAAAATTAAGTATAGATCTACATCAAAGTGAGATGGATAAGTTCCAGAAGAGAATAAATAGATAAACTATCAATCTTTATTAGGTTGAAGTTACATTGTGTGAAGCTCTCCAGATTCTTGGACTAAATTCAGGTATGTTGAAGACATTTTCCATTGCAGAAAAATTGATAAAATTATTTTGGAATTGATTTCGGTATTATTAGACTGAGATGAATGAAATGTTAAGATGAAAAATATTTTGATAGTAAACATTATACAGAGACTAAAAAAAAATAGTACAAAATAACATATTCTTAAGGAAAAGAATTTTAATTATTTATTAAGCATGATTAATAATAGATAATGCTACACAAACTTTTATCAAAAAATATCAATTTGTATCAATAAATGGAGCATATTATTGATGCTTTGATGTTAATTATAAGAAAGAAATTCTAAACTCAAGTACTGTAATAACTCTACTGCTGTAACATTAAAGCTTTAACATTTCGTATTCATTTCATAGAAACTGACTTTCTTGAAAGTTATATTTCATCATCAGATAATATAAACTATTTTATATAAGAACACTTTGACATTTCGTTCATGTTCTTTGTGTAAACAAATCATTAATACAAATGTGATGAAGATCTGATAATTGAAAGATAAAAGAAATATACTTTTTTCACCTTAGTTGAAAACAATTAATTAATAAGTAATAAAAATTTGTCCCTGCAAATAATTGAACAATTAATCAACAAAATTGGCAGTAATTGTCTTTTATCCGACATTGAATTTCAGCTGTAATATAGATAAATGCAAAATATTACTCCATACAACCTATTTTATAGATGATGATTCCACAATCCTTCATTACTTACTAATTAATGAAATAAATTTATAAAACATGAGTTCACTAAATAATTCTGGAATCAAACCGACAATTAGTATGTAATTAATGTTCATTGTAGATTAATAAGCCAAATTTGCAATAGAATAATTTCAAGAAATAATCTAGTTCAAAGAAAAATATCAAACATAATTGAATATTTGAAAATTAATAGAACAATTATAAGAGATTTTTCTCAGAAAGATGAAAAATAATATTGTCAGCTCATGTGAGCTATAATTGAGGGCTAGAAATAAAGTAAAAAATCATGACGGAGAAAAAAATACCAAGAGAGAAAGTGTGAACGTTAGATATATAACTTCAAGTAGTACTGTTGGCAGTTACCTAACGATTTTGTTGGATAGTGTGATGCGAACAATCGATATATTCGTATATATCATCTAGAAAAATATCGAGAGACTGTAACGTTTTCAACGAAAAAAAATAGTTCATAGCTAAGAAGGGTTGAGTATGAAAAAACAATAACAAGGAAGAAAAAAAGTTTGCGATACAAAGATAGAACTAGTAAAGTAATATTGAAAGATACATAGGAGGTAATTACGAAACAATCTTATGTGGGCGTTTGTGTCAATCTTATTGTGAAAAAGTCTAACTTATTAATTTTTTATAGGTATTATTTTATTGATAACATCTCTATAAATGGAAGATTTATTTTAATTAGATTATTACATTTGCAAAGTTTACCCAAGCAGCAACTAGAAAGAATGAAATTTTAGCAAATGTCATAGTAGTTAGCCATTTTTAGAAGTTCAAAAATTTTATCTCAAGTCCAAAAAGGCTACTACGAAAATTTCGTTGAAGATAATATCGATTTTTCGTTTTCATGCTTGAGAACCTCTATCAAAGTGAGAGATAAGAATAGGCTCCCTGATGCCTCGAGTTTTTTTTTTGCTTTTTTTCTCTGCCGTAAATTGAAAGGAACTTATCAGAAATCGAACTGACAGTGCAAAAGAATACATTTGCGTGCTATGTTGTAATGATAATGTATAAAATGCTTAGATGTTTTATTCTTTGTATCAAAATAATCCTACATTTTTCTTCTAAGAGTAATGGTTTAGAGTATCAACACATTGTGTATGTTACTTTATCATTTATTAAATCGGTCAGTATAAAATGATTTTCTTCAAAAAAAATCTTAAGAATGGTATGAAAAAAATCTTGAAACATTTATATTCATATCTCGTATAAGGTTTGATATACTAATCATAAGCGAAAAGTTTTCGTGTAACTTAGGCTTTCATTTTGTCAGACTGTTATTGCTACTTGATCCATGATTAGCTTAATCCTAGATTATGTATGGGAAGTGGGCCTGAAATGGGTATCACAAAATGTGCTGGATCTGGCAATGAGTTTCTTGGTTCTTAAACGAAGATCATAACACTAAAAACAGCACTGATACTTATCTTAATTTAAACTTTAAAAAAAAGTAAATTTATTTATATCTCAAATCAAATAAATTAAAGTCGATGGATATTAAAAAAAAATAAAATTGAATAAAAAAGTACGAACTTAGTTAGCTTTTACGCGATAGATCAATCGTGGCTCCACAAGATGAGTTGCATTTAAAGTAACCAATGCGTCTTCATCCAGGTTTGTATCATTATCATCATTTTGTTCATCATTGAGAAGAGAAAATTTCCCATTCGGTGTTTTCATTTGGTCATGACCTTCTGTAATTATATTTTTAAAAAATGTAAAAAATAACATTCAGACTTTCATCAGAATTATAATATTCGAGTTAGAATAAAAGAAAACTACCGAGGATTTTGAATACGTAGTTATTTTGAGTACAGTCTTTGGATACGGTTTTCGCAATAATATATCCAGATACAGTAGGAGAATAATCTTCGGCCATTTTTAATGTCTATAAAATTGACAAAAAATAAATTTATTTTAACAAATATTTCATATTATATTTATTTAAAGTAAAAATCAAATACTTACTCTGAATGCAAGAACATCATCAACTTCAAATTCTGATGAATATGCTGGATAATCAAGCGGATTAATATTAGCATAATTAACATTTTCTTTGTCAGGAACAACACCATTTGTTATTGGAGAATCAAGTTTTTTCGTTTTCTTATTTTCATTTTTTTCAGGATTTTTATTTGTTGTCTCCAGAGATGTTGGGGAATTTGGTTTCACTTTTTTACTAACAAATCTCAATGGGCTTTTTGAATTCTTCAATCCCAGTAATAAAGTTAAATCAGCAGATTCATTGGAACGAACAGTTGGTTTTGTTTCATGTAAATGTTTAGGTGAATTTCCATTAATTTTCTCATTTCTATTTTCTATATCCTCCCAATTGAATTTCAAATGTTTTGGAGTAGATGTATTTTTGTAACCATTGTTACAATGATTATTTACTGATTGATTACGCGTATTATTTGAATTCTCATTGACTAGTGGAAATGTCGTTTCCGCAGTCTGAGTAGGGTTCTTTCTTCGCCGACGACCTCGTTTTCTTTTTCTCTTAGGAGGGTTTGCGGAATCAACAAACTCTTCACATTTTGTGTGGTTATTATTCGCTTTAAGTTGTTCTGTTACATTGATTTTTGTTTCATTATCTGTATCTGATGTTGATTCACTTTGACTGCTAGGATTCGTTTTGGATTCTGTACTTTCAAATTCCTTAAGCTTAGTAAAATCCTTTTGAGCTTGGAATTTTTCTGATGCCGGCTGATTGATAATTCCAATGAGATTAGAAGATTCTGGCAGAACTCTAAACATCATATGTATTGTAAAATATAATTAATACATTTAAATGATTTATCTGCATGACTTACATGATAGTGTCATTTTTATCAATAATCCTTATATCTTCATTCAATGGTAAAAATATATTCTCATCCGTGAAAAGATGAAAAGGCCGGTCAATGTTGAAAACATCACTAATTTTTTTATGTAATCCAGAAACATATGTGATTTTATCTGTATCAACGTAAATGTAACTTAATTTTCGCTGGTCATTATAGAAATTTGCAAGATCTATTTTAAGACGGTAATTTAATAAGTTAATCATATTTTTTGGAATATTAGACACTTGAAATTTAGAGGTTGTGAGAGTTGCTTAGAGTCTGTTATGTATTTTTTTCTTCATGTGGGAGAAACAAAAGCATGTTGCTTTACTGTCACTATATCGACCATACAACGACATCTTCATTTTATTGAATCATTCAACTAAATACGAATTCGTATTCAAACTGAATAAACAATATTTCCACAAGTCAATAAAAATTCAAATAATAAACGTAATCCATCAATAAATAATCATTGTAACAATGGTTACAAAAATACATTTACTCCAAAACTTTTGTTAACATTAATTTTAAGTCATTATAATTTCATATATAAATCCATAAGCAAAATGACAATATTTAATTTATCGATATTATATTTTCATTAATCGAACTCTGTGTACATGAAAGGGTAAAATTTTGCAAAACTTTTTATTAATTTAATTATATTTTTATGAAAAAAACAGTCGAAACTGTGAAAAATATTCGTATCATGTAATTTGAAACACATTCTTAACGTGGCATTTAAATTTAAATTTAACATGCAAATCTCGAGTAAAACATGAAAAAGAAAATGTCACAGATGATTAGTGACAATATTTGTTGATATCTTCTGAATAAAAAGTAGTTATTTTACCCATATTAAAATAGAATAATACTTTTCCATTGTGTTTTTATTTGCCAATTTTTCATTTTATTATTCAATACCAACTTTCTAATTTTATCAACATAAATTACTATTTTGTTTTTAAGAAATAATCAATTTATGAGCTCTAAAAAAATATTCAGTGTATTTTTTAATTTCTCTACTTTTATAAATTATTTGAAACATCTGTCTAGGATCACACATTGAGCAGATTTGAAACTGAACCTCTTACAAGATTATTCTCATTTTTTTCATCATTATGATGAATCCACAAATCCATAGTTATTACCATTATTATTTATATCTGTAATTAAAAGTGTTTTTAAATTTTTTATCACTATAGCTGCTTTCACCCGACTATATCAACCTTTATTGATATCGAACAGACAGCATAACCTATACAATAAACGTCATTTAACACTGACAGCTACTTGATAGCCCTCATATAACCCAATAATATTTATTGTATTATTATTAAATAGTGAGATTACATTGTGAAACTAATTTAATTCGTGTAGATAATAATTTTTGAAAAGATCAAATCTAATGAGAGAATTAAGAACAAATTGATTATAAATTCAATTTTCTTTACTGAAATTCACTCATAAAAGTAATGTTTTTTTTTAAGATTACTCACGATTTCGATTTATATTGACTCATTTATTTTGATAATAGATAAGACATCATGCCAAATTCATATCTTTATGCAATCAATAATGAAGGCAGAGTGTTTGGGCTTTCAACATCAGGAAATTTGTGGCGTGAGTTCATGTATCTTGGATTGGAATTTAAAAGATTATCAGCTATCCCCCATTTCATGTGGGCCATAGGAGGTGATCGCCAAGTTTACGTACACGTTCATGAGCTGGATATTCCCATAAGGATCAAAGAAGAAACTTATGAAAATGAGGTATCATAATGAGAAATAAAACTTGATTGTCAGTGCATCATTTCTAATTGAATCATAATCATCAGCGGTTTTAATAATAATTGAAATTCTAGAGATGGTTACCTCTGGAAGGATTTACTGGTAGATTATTACCAACAGACAGATACAATTTTTCAAATGCAGACGGAACAGTTGATAGGTCTCGGGACAAAGTGAAACTTCCATCAATGGCATGGCAATGGGAAGGTGACTGGCAGATAGAAACGACTTTAGATGGTCAACCATTGGATCACGACGTTAGTAACGGTATTTAATTGGTAAAATATATATAGACAATGAATGAGCTATACAAATAAATTACTAATTATTATTATAGGGCTGGACATACGCAGTAGACTTTCCAGCAACTTATTCAATCAAAAAACAATGGAAGTCGTGTGTCAGAAGACGTAAATGGGTTCGATATCGACGATACAGTGCAATGAATTCATGGTGTGCTATTGCTCCATTGCACAAAGATCCTACCAAAGAACCATTTATTGATGTAGCAATAGGAGGAACTCAAATACCTGGTGGTACTCCTGGTAGTATGGTAGTTTGGGCAGTTACTGCTCATGGACGAGTGATGTTTAGAGTTGGCGTTAGCTCTACATCACCTGAAGGCCAACGTTGGAGTGCAATTAAATTATTAAATGGTCAAGAAATAGCACAAATTAGCGTAGGAGTTACAGGATTGGTTTGGGCCATTCTTAACGATGGTAAAGCTTTAGTTAGAACTGGAGTCACTCGAGAAAATCCAATGGGTGATGAATGGAGTGAAGTTGAACCTCCTCAAAAAGATCTACGTTTAGTTCAAGTAAGCGTTGGCTTTGATGCCGTATGGGCAGTAACACATGATGGCAATGTATGGTTTAGAAAAGGGATTAAAGGAGACATGAGTGGAATGTGCGAACAGCTTGCTACTGGAACTGGATGGGTGGAAATGTTAAGCAAAATGGCTTCGGTTTCTGTAGCTTCTAATGATCAAGTAAAGTATCAATTTGTTTATGTACATTTGCTCGTATCATTTTCTAATTATTGTAATTTTTTTAAACTAGGTTTGGGCAATTGGACATGAAGATAGATGTTTATATTATCGAACAGGAATCAATCGTTCAGAATTAACAGGAAAAAAATGGAAAATCATTAATGCACCTTTACAATTAAGTAGAGCAAGCAGCAATGCCAGTTTGTCATCTAGTAACCGTCACAGCATGTGTGGAACTCCTCAGCAACAACGTCATCAAAGTTGGAGTTCTTTAAATAGACCCCAGAGTACCGGAGAATGTGCTGCTCTTATTAGAGATTGGGAAGAACAATCTAGATCTGCACCAACTCCAACGTCTTTAAAACTTTGGCAAAAAAATGAACAATCCAAAAATGAACTATCTCAACAAACATCACTACAACAGATGTACAATGCAGATGAAAAAAATAATTCTGCAAATTCTAGTAATGATGAGAATCTGGATAGTGCTGCAAATATAACAATTTCTAATGAATCACTTTCACACAGTGGAGAAGCAACAGTAATTTCTGGAAAAGGAATGAGTAGTACAATTAAAGTCAATCCTGCTGCTTGGAGTCCAGTACACTCAGTTGGGTCTATGGTGGGTGTTGAAGCTCATCCTGAAACTGATGGTAGCATTTTTGATCCAGATTGGACTGGAGACTCTGGAGTTTATGGTGAAGATGAAAGTATTGCTGCTATTTATTGGGCTGAATGTGATGTACTTTGGTGCAAGGTTGAAGCTGGAGCTTGTTTTGTTGATCCCTCTAATCCACCTAAATGGTATTTTGATTACTTTGATAAAAACTTTTTATGTATTTTTTCATTTTAGTCTAATTTTTAATTATGTATTAGGCTTGCTGATAATTATTCTTTAACTCAAGGAGAAATTGCTGAATCGTGGAGGATGCATATTTTAGAAGAATTAAAAAATAGAATGAAAAATTTTAATTTTGATTCTTCGGTTTGGGAACAAGCTGTTGAAAGGTGAGTAAATTATTTAATAAAAAAAATAGTTTTACTAAAATAAAACCAGATTTAAATTTTATTTTGTATAATTTGTTGTATTTCAGATCTTCATGGGTAAAAAACGGAGATGCTAAGTGTAAATTAAAAGGGAGTAATAATTATGAAGATTGTGTTATCGAACTTGAATGGATAAGTAGCGATAGCGGGTCATTAGACTCAGGAACTTTAACAGTATTAAATGCTGATGGTGCAACAACAATAATGCAATTTCCTGTGATGGAAATAGTTTGTGTGGTTTGCTGCAGTGAACCGGGTAATCCGCGACTCGCAATTCACACTCCGCGATTGCCAAAATCCAAAGTTTTGCGGCTACAATTTGCCAGTGATACGGAAATGGAGGATTGGATGAGTCATATAACCACAGTTACTTGTCAAATGAATAATGTTTACGGAAGACCTGGGCCAAAATCAATTTGGTCAACAACAGCTTTAGGTGATGTATTTGTATATGATCCAGTAATTGCTGAAGCAACTCAACTATCTAATGGGATATATACACAGGAGCTAGACAATGTAGGGAAAGAATTACCATTTGAGAGTATTTTACATAATGGATTTAGTCCTGGTCATTCACTACATATTTTTGTATGTGTTCATGATGATGCTGATCGACTTTCTTTTAATTTTGTCTGTTATAAGGCAACAAATCATAAGTATAAAGTAACTCCTGATACACATGACATAGCATTCCATTTTAATCCGCGATTAAATGAAAATTTAATTGTAAGAAATACGTACCAGAATGGTCAATGGGGTGATGAAGAGAGAGGTGGAGGAAGTCCTCTGAAACCTGGTACAGATTTCTCATTGAAGATATTATGTGAAGAGAGAGGCTACAGAGTTTTTATTGACGATAAAGAGTTTACATTTTATTGCCATAGGATACCATCACAAAATATAACTCATTTGAGAATTAAAGGACTTATGACGCTACATAGTATTTTATATAAATCACCATCTGTTATTGTCGAACCTGTATCAATGTTCTGGAGACAAATGGGAGGTCATCTAAAGAGAGTCGAAACTTGTAGCACTGGTATTACATGGGGAATTGGCTACGATAACACAGCGTGGGTTTATACTGGTGGTTGGGGTGGATCATTTCTCAAAGGACTTGGTACCAATAATGCTGACATCTACCCCATGACCGATATGCATAATTATTTTGTCTATGAAAATCAAAGATGGAATCCTGTTACAGGATATACATCACATGGTCTACCAACAGATCGTTATATGTGGAGTGATATAACTGGAAGACACAAACGTACTCGAGAGCATACTAAATTACTGTCCATGCATTGGAAATGGGTATCTGATTGGATTATAGATTTTCACACTCCAGGTGGTGTTGACAGAGATGGATGGCAGTATGCCACTGATTTTCCTTCACAGTATCATGGAAAGAAACATTTTACTGATTACGTTAGACGAAGAAGATGGTTTAGAAGATGTTTATTAACTACTCGTGGCCCTTGGAAAGAATTAGGTAATACGAAAATAGTCGATATATCATTGTATTCTCCAGAAGATGCTGGTTCTGATGGTCTTGTTGATGTTTGGGCTGTTGCTGCCAATGGTGAAGCTCTCTTTAGACGAGGTGTTTCAGAATCTTGTCCTACAGGAGTATCTTGGGAACACATACCTAGTGATCAAGCTCTCATTAGTATTTCTTGTGGATCTGAAGGCCAAGTATGGGCCGTAGGAAAAAATGGATCATCTTACTGGCGTGTTGGCATCACGAAAGCTAAACCTATCGGAGAATTATGGGCAAATGTTGAACCACCACCTGGCGCACAATTGAAACAAATTTCAGTAGGAAAAAACGTTGTATGGGCTTTGGATACATCTGGAAGATTGTCTGTTAGACGGGAAATTCAACCTAAAGTCTTTCCTGAAGGAACTTATTGGCAAACATTACCTGCTATGCCAAATGATCCTATACATATTGATCACTCTGTTCTTACGGCTAAACAAGGATTTAGGCACGTTTCTACTAGTCCTGATTGTAATCAAGTTTGGGCAATTTCTGGTGCTGGAATAATTTGTAAGAGAATCGGTGTCACAAAAGATAATCCTGCTGGCACTGGATGGAGTACGGGAATTGGGGTAAATAATTTTGATTAAAAATAAACAATTTTTAATAAAAAAAGAATTGTAAATTTTACACTTATTTTTTCTTTTTTTTTAATTTTCAGGCTAATTGGCAGCATATAAGTCTTAGAAGTTTTACAAACGGTAAGAAGTAAATTTTAAAATAAAAAAATTTATCTATTTTCTCAGTATTTTGGCATCAGAACCAAGGTGTTGGCGTATATTAAACTTAAATATCTTAAGGCCTATTTTAGGTTCTAGTCATTCAGTGAAATCGTGTAGTTATTGTTGTTAATTGTTTTCAATTCACTTTTTCATTTTTCCATGTTTTAATTTATATACATTTTTTTAAATAATTATTTTATATTATTTAAAAAGTAATTTATTATAAAGAACATAAGCCAAATAGAATTTCCATCGAATTTGTTTATTTTTTCATACATTCCATTTATAGTTGAGCATAATATATTTATACATAAGTATAATAGATATTTAAAAATAGTCAACCTAATGTTTTTTATTTTTTTACCACTTATTGTTTTCATTTATAAATAATACTATTTTTTTGATACTCTTTTTATTTAAAAAATAATACAAAATGATGAATAATACTAGATAATTTTAGCCGCATTTATACTATACAAAATAAAATATGTACAGTAAAAATTTATATACGCTAAAAATTGCGCTCAATATGTAAATTGTAAAAATATTTACAATACAATATTTAAAACAAACCAATTCGATAATGATTATGAGAATAGTGAGTCTTTGGAATAAATAAAAAATAAAAAACAATTATTTAAAAAAAATTCTGTGATGTGCTTTGTGTCTCCTGTGATGGTATATTTTGGAATTTTAATTGGTTTTTTTGACCCTGAACACTATTTTTTATTCCATAAAAAAAGTAAATACATAAACCTGAAAACAAAACATTAATACAATAATACTCATTATAGTGATTTAAAAATTAAAGCAGTAAATATTTGTATTGTTACTAACCTATAACCATCCACACAGAAAATCTGATCCATGTGAACATATCTAATTGTAGCATTAGAAAGAGATTTATAAATATACTACAACAAGGTGCAAATGGAACTAAAGGTACCTGTAAACATATTTGAAATAAGTCAAAGAATATCGTAATAAAATAAAATACATTAAATCTGTTATTATTAATAGTTTATAAACATACTTTAAAAGCCAGTTTTACTGAATTAATTGGTTGTCTACTGATTGCAACAACAGTAAGTACACCAATCATACCAGAAATTAACAAAACCAAGTATAGTAATATATTTATTGATAAGCTACTTGATGGTAAACGATTAATAGACAAGCCAAATATAAATGCCATTATTGCTGAGGATAAAAGTAAATTAATAGTTTTTTCAAATTAAATGAACTTCTTTCAATTATTTTCAAATATATAATTACCAAATACAAGTACACCCCAACTTGCCACTTTGCTAGATGATGTACTTGGAGTATCTTGATTATTAAAATTGAAAATTATCTTGGAATATTCTAAAAATGGTGAATATGTTTCTAATGATGAACTTGAATGATTAGCAGATGCTTTAATACTTTTTTGTGAGGTTGATTTTTGATATCTTAAAATGAGAACAGATATAGCAACTATTGTATAAGCTAACAGAGTTCCAATAGACATCATATCGATTAATTGTTCTAAATTAAACATCAGTGTCATAAGACCTAGATAATAAAATAATATAAAAATAAGAAATTACTAAAAATACTTATGAATATTTACTTAAATACTTTTTTTTATAATACCTATAAAAGCTCCAGACACAATAGTTCCAATTATTGGAGTCCTAGTCTTACTGTGGACTTTCGAGAAGAATTTAAAAATCACTCCATCACTTCCCATAGCATAAAGAATTCTAGGAAGAGGAAACATTGAGCCAAGAAGATTAGTACAAAGTGCAGAAACAGCACCAATATTTACAATCCACATTAATGCTGGCCAACCCATTTTTTGAAAGACATACGGAAGTGGAGCTTCAGGATTCTAAAATAAAGAAAAATTAATTTTGTTGCAATATTATTACAAATTAATTTTTCAAACATTTTAAAACTAACTTGATCGTAATAAGGCCACATCATTGTAAGAACAGTAGATGTTGAGAAATAAGCAACAAAAATAACCGTCAAAGAGATGACAATAGCAAGGGGGATTGTTTTTTGTGGGTCTTTAGCTTCTTCTCCTGTAGCTGCCACTGCATCAAATCCTACAAATCCATAAAAACACTTTGCAGCTCCGATCATTATTCCACTTAACCCGAATGGCATGAATCCACCAACTCCTGGGTTTGTTATTTCCGGTGGTATTGTTTCTTTGGCTATTTGCCAATTAGCAGGATTAGCTATTTATAAACAAACATTCCAAGTAGATTAATTAATTATTTTGAATAATTTAAACATTATGAAATTTGATTGTTGGCTTTATACATAAAACGACGTTTTGGAAAAATTTTTTACCTTTAATAGATCCAGCAATAGTTACTATGAGTACTGTAGTTAAATTGATGGCTGTGAATCCCATATTCAGATATGATGATTCTTGTGCTCCAATACAAAGTAAAACAACTAGCAGCACAATAACACCAAAAGCAAAAAAATCTGGATATTCCGATAAAAAAGATACTTCTATCGGCATTACTGAATGGAAATAAGTCCGCATTTTATTGTCAACCAAGGAATCAACATAACTGCTTAAACCTCGAGCAACACTGGCGGTAGCTTTGAAATATGTAAGTATGGAAAATTTATTTTTGTCAACTTATTCAAACGTTTTAACTTTTGATTAACAAATATTAATTCACCAATAACATATTCAAGAATTAAGTTCCATCCTATGATGAAGGCTATGAATTCTCCGATTGTTACGTAGCTGTAAACGTATGCTGATCCTGCTTTGGGGACTCGAGAAGCAAACTCTGCATAGCACATTCCTAAAAAATTTTATTTATTAAATTTGAACAATAAACTAAATAAAAGAAAATAATAATTTTTCTACCTGCAAGTGCTGAAGCAATAGCTGCTATAAGAAAAGAAATACATACTGCAGGACCAGCTGTATCTTTGGCAACACTTCCTGCTAGAACGTACACGCCTAAACCTAGTGTTGCACCAACACCAAGAGCTGACAAATCGAATAAACCTAACACTCTTGCTAATTTTCCTTTATCTTCTAAATCTCGGATTATTCTCTTTCTCGTCAAAGCTTTCCATAATTCGGTAAACATCTTTGAAATTAAGATAATGAGTTATTTATTTGCAAACTGATGAGTTAATTAACTGATTGATGATTTTATCAATATGATTACAACGATTTCTATCTTAATTTTTATAAAATACTAAACAATAGCACTGATTGAATAGAGACTGTTTGTGGTAATAAGAAATGATTGAAATTTTACATGAGTGGTGAACTGCATGAAGAAAAAAAAATACAATCAATGTTGTGGCATTGCATCATGCTAATTCTGCCAATTGATGGTCGATTATATGTGACTCATTGCTTAAATGATTGACATTGGTGTTAAGTTTGTCTCTTTTTTGAAAGATAATTTTTGTCTGTATTTAATACTCAAAACATATTGAATACAATTTATATAATTTTGAATGGTTTTCAGATAAGACTAAATTGTGTAAGTTTACGTATCATAATTACCATGAAATTACTGGAATAACTGCCGTTGTCTCCACTAATTTAAGTAACAACGTTAATTATGATATAACAAACGATTTTATCTGGAATGAAGAAAAAAGAAAACTGATCATTAAATCGTTAGATAGAATGTTACGTATCTACAAATGACACCAAGTTATTTTACACGTAACAAGAATTGTCTATGCAAAGAAGCAATGCTTTGCTTGTCAGTTTTAGAAACTGATACTTGAAAACGTCTATGAACTGTTGCTTATCACTCTTTATGATTCTCTTCTATCATTTTATTATTCTTACTTTATTTGTAATGATAACTCTATAGGTGAGAGAAAATATAAATACATATATTGAAGTATCATAGACGAAGGTTACTAACAAAAATATTGTTGTTGCATAATGTTGTATTTTTGGATAAGCTAAGAGCAAAGAATTAGACTGAAATTATTATGCAACTGTGTGATATATTTTTATTTCTTTGATACTTTTTCTAAATTAGTTCAATTTATCTTTCATTTCTTCCGTATCTTTAGTATTTTCGAAATTGAACTCTCCTCTGTTATTTACATTGATAAATTTTATTTAATATAGATTATCTGCATTGTTTATTGTAGATTACTATTATGATAATGCAAATCAATTATCTACAATTACTTGTTAAGTTAATAGTATTTGAGTAAAAGTAAGTTTACCTGTATGAGAAATTTATTGTATAAGTATGTGGCACGAGATAAAAACTGTTGACTTAATGGTTTTTAATAATATTTTAATTGTTTAAATATAATTCAATATTAATATATTATTATTAAAAAAGCTTTACTTTATTAAAGTGTATTACTTGATGGTAACGTTGCTTGATTACTAATACTTGAAGAAAAGTAAGAATTTGTTGATCTAATAGAAAAGTATAGTGAAGGTATGCAATAAATAATGCTTCCAACTAAGTAACTCCAGATCACTTTTCAATTTCATTAGATCAAAACAATTATCTGTATGATAGTATACTTTTTGGCACAATATATGTTCCAGTATTTTTTACTTTCGTTGTCATATTTTATCTCCATTCTGGTCATATTTAATTTATCCTTCATACTGGATAATTTTTTTGAGTCCAATATAAATGAAATAAAAATTAAACAAATAAGTAAGAAATGGTTTAAAAAAATAAATAAATAAATCATGTAATAACAAGTACAAAAAATAATTTAATTTTTATTAAAATATTGCAAGTACTTAAAAAAAATATAAATGATAAAAATATACATTTAATTACTCTCATTTAAAACTTTGTTACTAATCTCACTGGATTGGTGTAATCATGAATAGTAGTTCTATTATTTAATAATCTGTCTCTTTGTCCTTGAGAACTATTTCTAATTCCATAAAAGAAATAAATACAAAAACCTAGAAAATAATCCAAAACCAAATTAAGAGTATTCTACTTAGTAAATAATAATGTGGTAATTTTTTTATCTATATATGTAATTACTCACCTATAACCATCCATACAACAAATCTAATCCATGTGAAAATATCGAGTTGAAGCATTAGAAAAAGATTTATGAATATACTTCCACAAGGCACAAGAGGTACGAGTGGAACCTTCAATTAAAAATATCAATTTAATTAACTATTCGTATTTGTTTTATTTTAATTTTAATAATATCAACAAAGATAAAAATTCAATTTGCATAAAAAAGCAATTTTTTTCTTGTAATTTATTATCAAGAAATTTTAAGTAATAAAAATAAATTGGAATCAGTTGATAATTATTTTTATCACTTAAATTAAATATCAATAAATAATTTATCAGCTGTTATTAACAAAATTATAGTATCTTATGGAAAGAATATTCATTAAATATGTTTTATTGAACAAACATTCATTTGTTTGATATTTACCTTAAAAGCAAGTGTGATAGAATCAACAGGCTGTCGTCCAATTGCAAACATTGTTGATATGATCATTAAACCAATTAACATTAAAACAAAATAAGCAAAAATATCGCCTGGATTGTTGTCGAATTGTACGTATTTGATTGTTAATCCAAAGATAAATACTAGTATTGCTACACAGTAAAATGAGAATGTATGTATTTCAAAAAAAATATAACTGGTTTATTTACACACTCAATGTTTTTCTTTTACTTTTTTGATAAAAAAAATGGTTCATTTGATGTTAGCTCATCAAAATATTTCAATATACTAAGATTAACTAGTAATAACTAGAAAAGAATAATTCACAATTACTAAATTACTTACCAAAAACTAGAACGCCCCAACTGGCCACTCTACTAGAAAAGTTTGTAGCAACCTTCTCGTTACAAATATTGAAAACTCTTTTAAAATAATCTACATAACTTGAATGATTCTCCATTGGCATATGAGAGAATATTTTAACGTTTGGACTAGTTTTTTGATACCTTAAAATGAGTACAGAAATAGCTACTATTGTGTAAGCTAAAAGAGTTCCAATAGACATCATGTCAATTAATTGTTCCAGATTAAACATTAATGTCATCAGACCTACAAAAAAAATTATTAGAAAATTTAGTTTTTTAATATAATAAAGAGTTTACTTATCTATTTCAACACTTAAGATATTACAAAAGAAAATGTTCACTCATTCGTTACTTTTTAAATAAATATCATATCTGTAATATGGTGCTTTTATCTTACCGATGAGTAGTCCAGAGATTATAGTTCCGAGAATTGGCGTTTGAGTTCGATTATTAATTTTTGCAAGAAATTTAAATATCACTCCATCACTTGCCATAGCATACAAAATTCTTGGAAGTGGAAACATAGCTCCAAGAAGACTGGTACATAATGCAAATACTGCACCAACATTTACAATCCACATAATTACTGGCCAGCCAATTTGTTGGAAAACATAAGGGAATGGTGCTTCAGGATTCTGAAATATTTACAAGAATTGTTTTGATTTGAAATATCTTTAATATCATTTTAATCAGCATTGATGATAAAATATATTGGGAAATTATACGAACCTGATCGTAATAAGGCCACATCATTGTGAGCACAGTAGAAATAGAAAAATAAGCTGCAAAAATTATTGATAGTGATATAACGATAGCAAGTGGAATGTTTTTCTGTGGATTTTTAGCTTCTTCTCCAGTAGCTGCTACTGCATCAAATCCCACAAAGCCATAAAAACATTTAGCTGCTCCAAACATTACTCCTGATATTCCAAATGGCATAAATCCACCTACACCTGCGTGTTTCACTTCTGGTGGTATAGACTCTTTCGGAATACGCCAATTAGCTGGATCGGCTATAAAAAAAATCTTTTAGCTTCTTTTAAAAATTATGTATTTTTTATGTCAATGAAAATTTACCTTTTATAGATCCAGCAACAATCACTATTAAAATAGTAACTAAATTTACAGCTGTAAAACACATATTCAAATAAGACGATTCTTGGACTCCAATGCAAAGTAGAAGAACAAGAAGCATAACAACAAGAAAAGCAAAAAAATCTGGATAATCTGATAGGAATGGTACATTTATTGGCATAACTGATTGAAAATAATCTCGCATTTTATTTTCAATCAAAGAGTCAACATAATTGCTCAAACCTCGAGCCACACTAGCAGTGCCTAAAACAATTATAATTTAATTTCTTATTATCTTCATTATTGCGTGAAGATTTTTTTTAGTGAAATATATATACCAATAACATATTCTAAAATCAGATTCCATCCAATAACAAAAGCAATAAATTCACCAACAGTAACATAACTATAAACATATGCAGATCCTGCTTTTGGAACTCTTGAAGCGAATTCTGCATAACACATGCCTGAAAAAATTAAAAACAAGTTATCCGAAAATTGTTTCTATTTATCGTACAATTGTGATTAATTATTAATGATATTAAAAAGTCATTTGATAATTGAAAACATTTATCAAATGACTTTTTGAAAATTCAATTTTAATGAGGTTGAATAAACCGAACAAAGCCATTAGTTAAAAATATGTATCGACTTTAGATGCTAGTATTTATTTATTTATTATTTATAAATAATAAGATTTGACGGATAACATTGATTCATTACCTGCAAGAGCAGATGCAAATGCAGCAATAAGGAATGAAATACAGACAGCTGGTCCAGCAGTTTCTCTAGCGACACTTCCTGCTAGTACATATACTCCTAAACCTAAAGTTGCTCCAACACCCAGAGCTGATAAGTCAAATAAACCCAATACCCTTGCCAGTTCGCCTTTTCCTTCATTATCTTCTTCTATTCTTCGTCTGATCAACGCTTTCCATAATTTTGTGGCCATAATACAATTTGTTGCTCACTTATCCTATTCAAACAAACAATATTTATCAAATATAAATTTTTCCTTAGAAGATGGCTAATTGTTTAAGTTATAATTAAAAAATTGTTTACATACAGCCTAAAGTAATTTTAAAAATGAAATGAAATATATACAGATAAAAAATATATAACGATTGATCAAAATTGGAAGATAGAACAAAACAATTAAAATGCATGAGACGATTTTTCCTGTCATTCAATTCCTCCTCACCGAGTAATTTTATTAGAAAGTAACTCATTGACATCTTTGTTTAAATACTGATCCTTGCGTCAATTCCTATTACGAAATTTGTCATGAAAAAGAAGATAACATCTTGTAGAATTTCAAGAATGTAATTGATGTAATCATTAATGTAAATTATAACATAATTATAATCCAATAAACAGAAAATTGATTAATTTTCCTGATTTTTTTCTAACGTCGATTCCTTTAATAAACATCATTCAAGGACTATTTCATCATGCAATCACAAAGTTTCTATGTTGGTCGAGGACCCAGACCGAGGTAAGGCTTTGACCGCCAAATTTAGTACTTTGGCGCCAACATGTCTCATTTTGACTCTTATTAGTATTAAGGTCACAATTTTACATAATTGGTTCTATGAGTAACGAATAAAAATGAATGAATAAATAAATAATTCCATTGGCATTTAATCTCTAATATTTCAGATAATGATTACCTGTATTTTGACCTAGGTAAGGATAAAAATACATTCAACTTCTTGTCAATCAATGTATGCTGAATTAAATGATAAATATGATAAAAGAATTAAATGATGAAACATTGAAGTGTCATTAATTGTCTTTTATATTTTAAATCTTTCCGACAAATCAAAATATCAGATAATAAAAAGTATTTTCATTATTTTTCAGTTATTTTGAATTCCAAAAATTTTTTATAACTTTTTTTTATTACCTGAATTCAATGATTGATTCACTTATTCCCGCCAACACTAAGCTAGTGTAAAGCAACATCGACACAATTGAAGTAATTTTTAATAACATACATAATAATATTATCACTGCATTTATAAAAATCTTCAATCCTTAATCTTCACAACCAGACAACTGAATAATAATAATTATTCATACAGGTGCATTTTACATGAAAAAAGTCTAGTCTTAATATGTAAACTAGATAAATATATACTTTAATTACATATTAATTTTGAAAGAATTAATAACATATTATTTACTAAAGTGGATATCTTAACTGACATCAACGATTCGTTGAAATTGCGTTCAAATGTAAGAATAAAATTTTTAAAAAAAACATCCCATGAGATCAACATAAGTAATAAATAAATACCTTCTGAATAATGTTTATTATCACAATAATCATTATGCTTACATAAAAGAATACTTTAGTATTATTACCTTGACCAAAATGTATTATATGGTTTTTTTCTTAAGTATTGTATGCAATAACTATTTGATAAAAAATAATTACCATTAAAAAAAATTGTTTATATTTATCTCTACTGATGATTAGTTTTTTTTTTTTTTTATAACTCACATTTGAATGTTAAAAAGAAATAAAAATCATAAAATAAACAAAATGACCACAAATTTCCTGGTAGGAAATGTGATAAATACATGGTATTGAGTTGAAGTTTTCCTTATACATTAATAAATCAATATACAACTTCTTTAATAATTTATTGTTAATTTGAAAGTTTATTAGCGAGTGATAATGGTACTAGATCATTGTTGAAAGAAGGTAAAGGAAAAGTAATAATTATAAGAAATGATAAGATTATTTTTCAATTATCGATGAACTCAAAGAATATTTGTAAAAACAACAGAATTTTCACAAGATAACAAATGTAAACTGTCAATACAACAAAATTATCATTAATTATGACAGGTAAATAATTAAATGATAATTATGTTCTATATTGTAATATTGAAATTTAAATTATTTCAATTTTTTTTTCTAAACAAAGCTAATCTACTAAAAGAAGCAAAAATGAACTTTCAATTGTTGTAACTCACCCTTAATGAAATGGAAAATATTCAATAAATCCATAAAAATAATTAATAATAAAATTTTATTGGTAAATGCAGTATTATTGCATTACCGATCTTTTTTAAAAAACTGTTCGTAACGACGGTTGAGCGCGAACTAAAAAATAGTATTACTTGTATCTTTACGTTCACTCGCACCTGTTCAATGTGACAAATCTGAGGCTGCCTCCCACTCAGTCTCATTCACTTGATATCTCACTTTTTGCGACTGTATTTCTCTGTTACCTACTCTCATTCAACCAGACGATTAATCATAATTCGTAAATTAGCTAAACTTTCAAAGGTCTTCCGATTTCAATTTAAATCCTCAGACAGTATCATTACGGATCATCTTTCCAATCAGATACAGCTCTATATTTACGTAATCATTTGCGTATTAACTCCTTTACATATAAATTATGTATTTTGTTAATTATTAGTTTATATAGAATTAAATTGGATTAACTATTTTTATATCGACAATTGTCACAACTATTTGTACTGTTTTTAAAAAAAATTTATTAGTAAACGAATAATTACTTTAGTAATTATTTACGTATATATTAATAGTTGTCATTTCATCCATAGGATGAAAAGAAAAAATAATTTATAAAAAATATTTTAATAACCTGTTTCACTACTACTAGGTGTTACTATTCTCCATCGGCTTGTGAAATGATGCAGTACTTGTGGCACAACCAGGGCATGTATGTAAGGACTCATGAATAAAAATCTCACAATCAATGCAAAATGTTTGCGTACACTTTTCACATACATAAACCTGCAATTGAATTGGCAATGAAATCGTTATATCATATTATATTGACTTATTTCTAAACAAAACGAAGATAATCTGACCTTTTTATCCATATCTGAAAAAGATTTTTGACAACCGTAACAAAACGACTTTACTGAATTGTCATGAGGCATTTCTTTAAAGTGGTTCACTGGGAAGAGATAATGGTAAGACCTTGCTAAATGAGGAGCAGAGACAAGAGTAAGTCCACATGATTTACATTCAACTGGTAGCTCACAATGTTTACTAAGACACTGAGGACAAAGGTAACCATTACTTGATAGCTTGGTAAAATCATCAGTGCTGTCAGCATGGCTGTTATTAAACGACATAAGATTTCATCAAAATGAATATGAATATAAATGTATGAACAATAATGAATAATAACGTAGAACAATTATTACCACATGCAAAGACTCATAGATATGTCAGCTCTAGAGCTTAAAGCATGATGAGGGAATCCCATTTTGACTAATGCAGCGTCAAGTCGTGTTGCTGCTGGTGGTGGATCTACGTGAATCTTTAATTGATTTCGATAATGTTTGTCATCTAGTACAACTGCATGTTCACCTCCAGTTAGTGTAGCCATTTTTTTACAAACGTGTAGTTCTGCTGAGAGTCCAATGACACTACATCTTACACTTTCTGACTTTAACGTCTAACATAAAAAAATATAATTTTAGTTTAACAAAGATCACTTATTAAATTTTTAGATTTTTATTACAATTAAATTTATATGTGGTTAAATTCTTATATTCAATTAATAATATAAGATAAAATATTTTTAGTTTTAAAACTGTGCAAAACATTTATTTTAATTTGAATTTAATAAAACAATTTAGTACTCCATTAAGTTAAAGTATTTACATCTTAAAGTAATCAATCAATACCAAGCGAGACATTTATCGTATTGTTAGAAATAGATATTTTTTGCATACGAAAATAGCTTACAAGATGATTATTATCTAACCGAAGCCAAAGTAAATCGTAAGCTTCATATTATTCGATATTAGATATGTTAAAAAAGCAAATACATAGTATTGTTTAGAAGAACTTATCTTCAATACAGTAATTTTTTTTTAAATAGAAAATTTAAAAAATTGTATTTACCTGAATTGTATCATAAATATCACCTGGATCACATGTTGTTAATGATGCCATAATCACTAAGATTTCACGACTAGCATGAGATGGAAGATTTTTTAATGACTTCAGTGCTAGCTCGAGAGAGTTTTGTAATGACGGCTCTCCTGTGAGAGAAGTTGAATTTAACAAAGATTTTACTTCCTAAAAATAAAGTAAATATGAAAAAATTACCAATCACATTTATTATTAAAACATTGTTCATACTTTGATATGTTTTTTGGCGTTTCCAGATAATTCACTGAGCTTTTCAGCTCTTTTATTCTTTGTAACAATTATTCCCAACTGACTAATTGGATTTTGATAAAAGAATTCATCAATAAATTCTTCAAGAAGCTAAAAAATATAAATCATAAAAATTAAATACGATTTTTTTACATATTTTTGAATAATTTATGTGAATAAAATTTACTTTAACAGTGCAAAATAGCCTAGTAGGTTTGAGGTCTTGTGATGTTATTGATTCAGAGACATCCAGAATGATATAAAGATGTCTCATCATCCCCAGTCTAGCACCTCCAGTTTTTTCCAATTGACGTTTCCTCTTGGCTTTATGAATAATATCCGCAACTGAAGCTTCAAAACTTCCATGATCATCCTCTTTTATTGCTTCCCTACAGAATTCAAAAGTTATTTTACATTATTCAAATATGTAAACCATAAATAAATGACAGAATAATAATATATTACCAAGTTTTCTCGTAACCAGTCTCCCAACGGTACTCTTTAAGATTTTCTTCTTCTGCCATTTCAATTATCAAAATTATACAAATTGCTAAAAATTAATAACAGTACATGTACACATTTATTATTAGAGGTTAGCTATTTTCACGAATTATTTTCTCTCTTTTTTCCTCAAATAAATGCAACTTTGTTTAGGTAGAAAAAAATTGATTTATCCAATCAAATTGGATATAAAGAATCCAAACGTCATATTTGAGAGTTGATTGGTTTTATTCAACCGGATGTAGAGTTTTTGCTTTTTCCAGTTTTAAAGCGCGGGAAATTTCAACAACGAATGCAAAAAATTACCGTTAGAAATAAATTTGAATAATGATGACAATTAAAACATAATTGAATCAAAATACCGAGTTCATTTTTTAAAAATAATCAATATAAAATAAGTGAAATAAATATTAAATTAATTTTATATTAATAAAAATATTCCCGCCAAAAGTAAGAAGCTCTAATAGTACCAAAAATGGTCACTAATGGTGCGTGGCGTGGCGGTTGTTTTGCAAGTTGTAGGAGGAACGCGATTGGGTGCGTTGTTCAGTAATCCGGTGTTGTCGGTGTGCATGTATTGTTGTACAATACGTTGCTCCCGGTTTGCGTGTGCGTCCCTGGCATAAGAAAATTTTTCACGAAACGTAATTCCCGGGGAAACGAGTGCTATCAAGATAAAACAATTGAATACAACCGAAAAGTAGAAAAACCATCAGGTAGGGAAAAAAGATTGTTGTAATCAAATAATTGTAAAGCTCACTTTCGGGTTTGACCGCGAATATCAAGCAGGAAGTGAACGCCAACGTGTGCTCTGTGTTCAGATTTGTAAAGTGTAGAGCAGTGTAGAGAAGTGAGAGCCATCTTGAAGTTGAAAAATTGTAAGTAGAGCTAGTTTTTGGCTCGTGGACAAGCACAGTAGTAACAGGATAGAAGATTGGTGCGGTGGCGCGGCAGCTTGGTAGTGGCGGTTGGTAGCGGCGCTACAACGGACAACCATCGAACGGCGCGATGGCATCACATCACGATAATAAAAGCTACTTTGCGTCCTGAGGCGTTCTCTTCTGAGTGATATTAGCGAACAAGCTACGAAAAAACCAGTGATTTGTTTTTGCACATCTAATTGCATTTCCAATACGAGAATACAGCGTAAGTTGAGTAGTTATTTACGTGACTGGCCGCGTTTTCAACTATTCCATGCCTTATTTCTCCCCTCTCTCTCTCTAGACATAAGTCTCTCCTGCTCTTTTCTCTCTTCTATACTTGCTATTTCTCAAACTTACATATCTAGTTTATGCGGGAATTCATTAAATTCGAAATGGACAATATGCTAAGATTTTTTTGTGAGTTTTTCATTAACTCTATGTTAATTTATTACTTTCTTTTGATAACTTGCCGTATTTTATTTATTAATAATCATACTTTTTTCATTTTTATAGGTTGTCTGAACAATAAATTGAGCGGGATACGGCAAGATGGAAGCCGAAGATGGCCCTGCGGCCGTCAACAATCCAAGCGTCGTCAAAGGTAACATTGATAATATGAAATTATCGCATTATTTTTATTATAAAATTACTTTTAAACAATCATGAATACATTAAACATTTTTTTCGCTCATGATTGCATCAAAATTACTGTTTATTTAGTCGACAACTATGAATCAAAAAATGAGTAAATTTCAAAAAAAATTTTTTTTTTTCAGCGGCACAAGAAGAGATGGGAAGACTTGACGTTTTAGTATGTGGACAATGTCATTCTGTTTTTCACTTTGTTGAAGAATTCCAAGAACACCGAAGCAAAGAGGGCGCTTGTTCAAAAACCTCACATTTTCGCGATAATGGAAATGTAAGTTCTATTCTTCTGATATTTGAATAGAGAATGTGTTTAATAGTTAATATTAAGTAGCTTTTAATCATTACATTTATTTTTCTTTAGAATGAACAAAAAGCGCAAGTATGGGCATTTCTTCTCTGGAAAGATACACAGATCCAACAGGAAGGCCCTGATAGAGATTCTGCAAACTCTTGGAAGCTCTATCAAAGATGGTGTAAAATGGAATCTCATGTAAGAGAAACTTGGGTGACCGCTGGAAAGACTATTCAAACATTTACTAAAATAAATAATGCAAAGATGACAGATTTTCGACCAACTGGACAAACAAATATCACCTCAGATGGTATTTTTATAATTTATTTTATTTATAACTAGCTCAACTAGTTGAGCTGATAGTAAATTTTTCCATCATTGAATTGTATATTAATATATATGTATGTATATAATTGTTCATTCAGGTGTGAAACAACCAATAGTGGTACGTAAAGTAATTCGTAATGGGCAACCAGAAGAATCTACTGAAGTTAAAAAAGAAGTAGTAATTAAACAAGAAATAAAATCACAACCGGGAGAATCAACTACACCACAAGAGAAGAAAGTTATTCATCCTCGACCGAAAGCTCTTGTTAAACCCAGAGTAAAACCTGGAAAGTTAGCATCTGAAGCAGATGAACCCAATGAAGAAGAATTTGTTGTGGAAAAAATTGTCGCAAAACGTTACAATACTAAAAAACGTTGTCCTGAATATTATTTAAAATGGGAAGGATTATCACCTGAGTTTAATACTTGGGAATCAGCTGATGTAATATCATCTTGTAAATTTCTTTTAGATGAATTTGAAAGGAATTTAGCAAAACAAAAAGAAATGAAAGAATTAAAAGCACAACAGTTAGCCCAACAGCAGCAGCAACAACAACAACAGCAGCAAACAAAAATAATTACTACACGACCAGTACCTCTAAAAACAATCGTCAAGTCAGAACCAAGTAGTATACCTGGACCTAGTAGTGCAGCTCAAATCAGTCGTCCAATGCGATCAAGTAAGTCAAAAGCAATGGACCAAGTAAAACAATGGTGTGGATCGATGAAAGAAGAAGAAGGTGAACTTTTGGGTAAACGTCGTGCTGAATTTACGGATAGTGATTCAGAAGATATTACTTTACCTAAACGAATAAAGGGAGAGACAGGTAGCGATGAAGATTGGAGTGGAGAATCTGAAGATGAACGTCTAGTTGGTAGAAGTGATGTCATACAACGTGCATTTAATCGTGCTAATGCCCAATCAAATGGTTCCAATAAAGCAAATACTATTGTTTCAAGCTCTGACCTATCATCTTTACATATTCAAACATCAGATGGCTCCAAAGTGACCCATCAAACACCGGTTTTAGTTGCTAATGCTAAAGGTGTTGTCAAAGTTGATCCTAAGCAAATGCCTAATTTGGCATCTGGTGTTTATGTAATGTCGAAAAAAGAAGGAATTATCAAATTAGATTCATCACCAAGTGGAAAAATTGGTGTTAAAGGATCGCCTAATACTCAAGGTGTATTAATGGTACAAAATCGTGAACCAACTGTGGTTCGAAGACAAGTGATTACTGCAACGCAAGCAAATTCAATAACACCGGTTAAAGTTGTTTCTAAGCCAGATGGAAGTCAGATAGTTACTCAAATGAAAGTGATCTCTAAACCAGTTCAAACTAAACCAAGACCATCTCTGGCACCAAAGACGGAACCAGTTAAAATTCAGCCTAAACCCGATCCAAATCAACTTCAACAAATTCATGTAGTTACGGCTGTCCCAACACCTATAGGTATTCAACCAAAAATGGCAACAACAACAATAAGACCTACAATTCAATCTCAACAATCACAATCATCACCACAACAACAGACACAAAAGACTCCAGATGGTCGTCCTCTTTTACCAAGACCTCCTCTCCGCGGTGCAACGCCTACTAGTGTTCTTGGTGTTGGATCAGTTCGTACACCGGTACGAGCACTAGCTCCAAGACTTCCTACAGCTCAAACACGTCCAATAATGCAACAAAAACGAATAATAGCAAGTTCACCACAGGCTGTAGTAAGTCCTAATCAATCGACTCAGATGCGATCAAAAATTACAGTTTTAACTACGCAATCAAATCCAGTAGTTAAAACAGTAAGCACAGTAGCAGCTAAATCATCACCAAAACCTCCAGTAAAACCATCCCAATCGCTCTTATCACCTCAGCAAAAACTTCTTATGGCAAAGAGAAAAGCTCAAGAAGCTGTTGGATTAACTAAAACATTTACCAAGACGGTTGTAGCTAGCCCGAAAACACCACAAGGTCGTGGACGTGGAAAAATCACACCTGTTGCAGCTGTTTCTACTCCTGGAAAGCCAAAAGAAACCAAGATTGTAGAAAGCGACGGATTACATATGGAATTTCAGGAAGTAGGCAGTGAAGATAGCAGTGAGGAGGCAGAACCTGAAGTTTTGCCTGAAGATAATATCTGTAATGTTCCGCAGAATGAACCTGACAGTCCACCGAGGCCGTTTACACTTTGTCCATTGACTGGACGTATCATTGGACCTGATGGGGAGCCGATGGACACAACGACTGAACCTGAACCGGAGCAGCCAACTACAACATCGGATCCAGTCACGTCGGTCACCACCACTGTAACATCATCTGAAAATTCTGAGACAACAAATGTCACAACACCAACAACAGCAGAATTAGTTTTACCATCTTTAGATGTCTTAACCGATGCTAGTGGTATTATGCGTGTAGAAATGAGTCCAGGTGGCACAACAGGTACGATAGTGCAGGCTAGTACTGATGCCACCCAGATAAATCTTACAGGCGTTACTGTAGCAGCACCAGATCTTCCTTGTTTGGATGATACAACAACAACTTCTGTAGGAACACCGATACCAACAGCAGCATTAACTGAGACTACTGCATCTGAAGCAACGACTACTAGTCTCACTGCCACTGTTACGACTAGTGTTCCATCAATAACTACTAATATTAAAGATATTAAAGAGGAAGACAAAAAAGTGATAGCTGAAGATACATCGAACTTAGTAACAATCACTGGTGAGGACGGTGTTGTCTATCAAGTTGCAGGTCATGCTGATGATGGCCAGACCCTTTTAGTGACACGCGGTGCTGATGGTGAGCAGCAATGCGTTTATGTCACGACTGAACAACAGGGCGATGATGGATCAGTACTCACACTTGATCATGCTGTTGCTGAAGCTGTTGCTCAACTAATGCCAGATCAGGTCAACTTAACTCCTCAGTTCTACGTAAAAGAGGGTGAAGGTGAAGCTGCTGAAGGTCAAATGGTTATGTCTATAATGGATAATAATAGTGGAGCTGTTGGAACTCAGGAGGATCCTGACGGACAAGCTCAAGTTGTCGCTCAGGTTGTTCAGGCTGATGAACCTACTCCTGGTAAGTTTTCTAATTTTTTATTGAACAGATACTAGAATTTATAACTAATTTCTTATCTATACAATTGAAGTATTCTGTATGAAATTTATATAAACCACTGTTTATAACTGAATTTATTTATTTTTAAGGTGGTACTAGGAGGGTCGTGCTCCTACTTCCAGATGGTAATTTAATGATGACGGAGGTGGATGAAGAACAATATGCCGCATTAGAACTCGATAAATGAGTTTAATGTAACAATATGCAATACAATAATACCATGAATTCTGTATGGAAATTGATTACTGACAACTTCACATTCATCCAAAACGTGAGTGAAAAAAAGAAAGCGAATAATGAAATTGTGAAAAAATAAATATTAGGCATTGCAGAAAACGTGAACAAAAATCTTATTATTAATATGTATATATGTAAGAATCGTTAAGTGAGAATGACGATTAAGAAGTTCAATGTAGAAGAATTCGCTTTCAAGAATAATAAACATCTTAAATTGAATGACCACTTCTACTACTACTATCACAATTATTATTGCTACTGCTACTATTATACCATAAATAATAAAGCTGTAAAGAATCAACCGAGAGGGAAAATAGATAAAAGATACAAAATTGAATTGATTTGTGACGAAGTAGACGTAAATATTTGAAATAGCAAATCCACGCTATATAGATTAAACAGAATAAAATTAAAAAAATGTATTTTAGACATTCATGTCTGCGTGTAACAACTTGCTCTTTAATTTTAATTTCCACATGAAAACTTGTAATAATGCAATTATAATTGCATTGGGATAGATAATAACACAAAGAATATCGTAGAGTTTAATAATTAAATATAATAATATTCGCTATTGTTTCACAGTGAAAAACAAAAAGAAAAAATAGAAAGAATACATGCAAAGATGTATTTAAAGAATACCAAGTCTTTTAAGAGTAGTTATTTTCTGAATTTTATATTTTACCATTGTATGAGAGCGTAAAATGATTATTTTATGTTTACAATAATATACGCAGTCACATTGGTATTAAATCAATTTCTTACCGCTATGACGAATAAATAAGAAGAGCATATTTAATAATACAAAATTGAAAGAATGAAATCAAATTTTTTTAAAATTTAATATGTAAAAATTTTTTTTTCTAAATATTAATTCTAACTCACGAGTGATTTTTGCTCTCATGAAAATAATCAGATTAATTGATAAGTATATACTCAATTAATTAATCTCTTATTTTATCATCAATTTCGAGTTATTCTGATGGTTGATGATTGAGAAGAATATTAATGTAAAATGATGTGAATGAGAAGTAAAGTGTGCGTGAAAGGCATGAAATATTGAATATTAGACATTCGTATAATGTACGAGTCCAATAAAAATACATTCTTACACGGTAAATCATTTCTTTTATATCTTTAGAAATAATTTACATAGTTATAAGATTAAATATTAATTATTTAATAAAATATATATATTTCTAGCTTTTTCTCTTTAAATAATAATAAAGCACTGATGAGTTAAAAGTATTTTAATCTCTTATCTAATATTTTCAAATTAAATTTTTTTTCATATGAATGAATATAATTATTAAAGTATTTAAAAAAATAATTTCTACTATTTTCGGTCTGAGAAATTAATTTTTAATTGTGACATTTGACGTTTCTATCTTATTAAGACAAAAAATTTTGATTGATATTTATAATATTGATGTACAAAAAGAATGTTTTAATTTTTTTTTCTGTAATTAATAAACAATTAATATGTTTGTTAAAATTAAAATTTTCAATTAATTTTTTTGCAAAACATGTCGTTTTTACCGATAGAGGTAATATATAACTATTAGTTGTTACCATTTCCGTAATGTAAAAAATGTCGCTACAGTCACAATTGAAAATCGAAAACAGTTCTATCGCAATTTTCTATACAGTGTTCTACAGTCTCCGGCCAATCAGGGTGCGGACGAGGTCAATTAGGAAGTGTTGTGTGACGAGCAAGTTTTGCGCGAATGTCATCATTGTCGCAAAGAAGAAAAATAGAAAAACCGCGAAACGAATCATCAAAATAGTATTTACAAGTGAAACAATTGTAAATTACTTACCTTAATTATAATAAAGTCAATTGAAATTAATATAATACATTTAAATAAATGAAAAAATAGTGAAACATGACAAATGAATGAAAAAAAATTTTTGATCTAAAGTGGACTCCCGGTGTTGCGTTTCGTGATTCTAGTATCGTGCTGTGTGTGATAAAAGAGAAGGGATATCCTACAAACATAGCATTGATAAAAGTGTTTTTACCGGTAGTTAGTGTTTACAACTACGTGTATATCAATTTCTTGAATAAAAATAATATCATCATTGCCAATATTATCAATAACAAACGTAATATCAAAATGACAGTATTAAAGAGTAAATAAAAATTAACATAGAAAATAACCACAATCAATTATTTTAATAAGGATCATTCTTTACAAGATCAAGTAACTGTTAAATCGATTACTAACGGAATTACATTTTTGGAATTGTTTTCCACTCTAACAGGTCATTACGAAAATGTCTTTTGGTTAAAAATCTACAATAAATAACATCAAGTAAACATCATCAATTTATCTTTTATTCAACACAAAAGAAGGGGAGAAGTTGAGTAAATAGGGAGTAAAAAAGTCTTTGAAAAAGTTTGTGATTTAAAATTCTGACTTTGGAGACTGACTCCAAGAATTTATTTTGTATGATCAGTGTCAGACAATCACAAAAAACGGCATCAAGTGTTAAAAAGTGTAGTGAAAGACACGGGTGAGTGTAAGACACCGGTGAATACGCCGCTGTGGCTACTGGCCGCAGCGGTGCCTCATACGACAACGCTAAGATTCAGGAACTTAGCCAAGAGTAAAACCACGGGGAAGATTTTGATTGTTAGAAGCTTTACTAATCATCACGCACAAATATGGCGGATCTCGAGGCCGTCCTCGCGGATGTCAGCTATCTTATGGCTATGGAAAAAAGCAAATGTACACCAGCGGCAAGAGCTAGCAAGAAAATAGTTTTACCAGATCCTAGGTATTGCGTTTTATTATTTTTTCCTTAATCAAAGATTAATATGACAATTCTCATTTATCCCCTTTAGTATATCTTTGAAACTTTTATTTCACTACTTCAGACCCCCTAATCTTGTGTCACATTTTGTCTATTTATTTTTTATATTCCTCAGAAATGTGGGCTTTCTGCCAGATGTAGATTGTAATCTTGATTTGTTCGTGTTTTTTATATATTTATGAGAGTAAATCGAAATTAAAAATCAAAGTATTATAGAATTTTAATCTAGCTACTACAAAAATGAAATTAATCTTTTTTACGTACCACAAAAATATGTCCTAGTAATGATTCAAATTCCTACATTATTTAATATTGATTGAAAAACTCAATTTAAAATTTGATGTTTTTTTCATGTAAAATAATAAGATTTATGAGATAAAGGAAAATGAAAATAGGTAAAATTATGATGATTATATTTACTAACAATTGTACCAGTTGGGCATAATCGATTTTACTAGAATTTGGGTATTTGACTTTTGGTATATTTTGCTAAGATTTGTCTTTTGATTGAAATTCATTCATTCATTCATTCATTCATTCATTCATGCATTCACTTCTTTATATACACTTTGATCGAAAGTTGATCTTTAAATGCATGAGTTATACGGGCAATTGGAAAAAAGTCATTGTTCTACTTTAATCTCTATATAGGTATATTCAATGTTGATGAGAAATCTATGCTGAATTTACTTTCGAACATTTTAATATTCATTAAAATTTGTTTGTCTTCTAGTGGCTTTATTACTTATAGAAAGGATATTAATGAAATGCAAAAGATTTTTTTGTTTTAGGTTTTGCAATAAATTTAAGTTATAATTATATGGAAATGTGCAAATGATAAATTGGACGTGAAATCGGTCAAATTTTGACAAATTATCTTGCTATAAATTAGCTGGAAGTTTCGTAAATAGGACAAGCTCAACACCCCAATAAATGGTCCGTATAATCTTGTTCTGTCAAGCTAAAGGGTCAATGTGTTAATAGAGACATAAAAATAACAATGGTATATCTTGGGAATACAAGTTCAAGACAAAAATAATGAATACTCTATAACAACAAGTTTCAATTATAGACGTGGTACATTGAAACATGAGTTTAAAAGAAACAAATCATAATATCTAAACTTTGATATTAAATTTTAGGTGTTAAACTTTTATTAGTTTTTCAAAATAACTAAAAAATAGGTTAAATAATTAAAGTTTCAATAATAATTGGTTTTATAAATCCATCATTTCTCTGTAAATAAAAACAATACAATTTCGATTTTTTTTCTTCTCTTTATAAAAGAAATTTAATCCGTAATTTTAATTGATTAAGAAATAAATTGAGGGAATAAAGTTTATATAAAGGGTCATTAAAACGTAAGTTATTGAATAAAATTCTAATAAAAATTTCGATAAATAAAACTTTACTAAATAATTGTTTAAAGAAAGAAAAGAAAAAAAAAATTCAATTAATTAACAACAAAACAGTGAAATCAATAAAAAAAAAGTACAGTTTTTTTTTCTGTTATTTATATTTCTTCAATTTCACCTTCAATTTTAAAATGATTTGCAGCAAATTTTTTAAAAATATTAATTGTTAAAAACATACACATGTTTTTGTTTATACTCATAAATTCAGATATTCAATTCGATTACCTGATAGCATATGATTGATTAATAGCAAAATCATAATTAATTAATTTAGTAAAAAAGTGGTGAAAGAAATTGATGGGAGAAGTGGTTTATTAAAAGAGATAAGAAACCAATTTGACTATGTATCCGTCTTTACTAGACGAAAGAAGGGAATAAATGTAAATTTCTTGATGAAAGTAAAACGAAAGTACAAAACATAATAAGAATCCCTAGTTTGTAACTTGAAAATAATTTCATAGAATAAAAGTTGAAAACGCAAATCACCAAGACATTATGTATAATAGCAAATAATAATAATAAAGGGTAACCGTTTGATAAAATAAGGTACGCAGGCGCGGAAAGGTCATTGCAGAGCAATCTCTAGCAGCTCCCACCGTCTTTTCATATCATCAACGTCCTGTGCATCGACCTACATTACTGCCGGGAAATTGTATTGAAGACTTTCGAGAGCCGTTATCATCAGTCACGAACTCAAGGACCAATTTACTATAAACAGGGAAAAAGGATTTGGAAAATAATTTCGAGAAAATAGGAAATAACACTTTATTATATTGATTAATAAACATCTGTAGTCTTATCATTTTTGGTTGATGATAAAATGTGCTATTAGCTTTCTTCTTGAAGACAAATTGCATTTTAATAACCTATTTCTATGCAAGACACACTTTCGTTTATGTACATACCATGCTCTTCCCTTATTACTTTTTAAAACACACCTACTACTCTTTTTCTCTCAATCAAATATTTACATTTGAAATCTTTTTGATGCTTACATTACAACCTGTAAAAGCTCTATCAAACATCAGAAAAATTCAAAACAAGAAAATAATATTGAGAAAAAAGTCAAAAATATCTCAAGCCAAGAGTTTTCTTTGTTTTCATTCTTCTGTACGGTTACCTCTGATAAAAACAATGTGAGAATAACTCGATTGGAGAAGAGATGTTGGTATAGAAGATAAATCAATATCAAAAGAAGGATTATTGCCTCTCCAAGTGTTCAGACAACTTGTCAATGCAGGATTTTTGCACTAAAGAAGACCACCAAAGAATTGAATTCAATACCAAGAATTAAATCAACTGTTTGGTTTATTTACTGTTATTGCCATTAATTTAATCAATACAAATTTCCAAGCATATTGGAGATCAACATTAAACACTTTACAATAACCAACTCGAGTTTGAGAGACTATTGTTTTCAAAGCCAACAGTATTATACTTAAAATAGATGAAGTTGAGTGCATCTGAACCATCTGGTGCTTGACTTCCAAGTTTATAAGAGAAAAAATAACGAATGTAGATAGTATAAAAGTTATTGAATTATATAAGTTGTTGTATTTAAGTGAAATATAATGTTAAATTAATATCTTGTTAAACAGGTGCTGAGGAATAGTACCAAAGTGTTTAATGTAATATATTCATTATCATTAATAAGAGTACATCTGTCAATTAATTAATGGTTATTACAATGTATTGACTACATTTGTTATGGTTCGAATATTATGAACTAAAATTATCCGATGATTATCCAATTTTCAGATCTGTTACTGAAGAGATTTGTTGTGTAATGATACAAATTAATTTATCTGTGTTTGGAATTCAGAACCCCATTGGGTGTATGTTGGATAAATAAGAGACTAAATGGTGATAAAATTTGAATAATTGTATCTCATTTTATTTACCTACGTATTGAATTTCTTTGCTGATGTTGCTATATTTATTGATGATATTATTATATTACAACAATCATGATGGAGGATATTTTTTGAATGATATTTAGATTATTGACAAATAAAGATATTGATTGGAAATTTTTTTAGGAGAACTGTGCTAAGGGGAAGTAAAAGATATCAGGATAGAATGAAAGAATTCTACTTTTACCTTACTTTTATACTTTTTTTTTTGTTGTATTTATCAATATCGACATTTTTTAAAAGTAGAATAATAGTTGAAAAAAGGAGATAAAAAAATTGTGAAAAGTTATGTAACATACATAAAAATGCTCTTTTATACCGTTTGTTATTTCTATTCATAAGTTAAACTCAACTTTATAAATTTATACGGCTTAATTTTTTGTTTATTCAAAAGTTTATCTATTGAAGAAAAATTAAATTAAATTAATTTAGTTTCTTAAAATTTAAATTAAAGATTTATACTAAATTATTTTTTTTCTATTAAAAATAAATTTTTGTTACTTTGTTGAATAATATTAAATAATTATTGTATAATATTCTATTACATAAATTAATTAATTATATTTATTGAAAGAAGATTAATTTCTAAAAATATAATATTAAATTTTTTTATTTGATTGTATTTGCTAATTGTCAATTACAGTAAATGCAATATAATTGATTTTTCACAAATACAATATTTTATTAAAAAAATATTTATTTTTTATTTCAACCATCTATATTTTCAAATTATTTTTTATAATATACGTTGTTGTTTATATAGCAATTGATAGCTTTATTTTATCAGTAAAATTTGTATAAAATTTTCCTTTTACCAGTTACTCTATTTATTATATGTGCAATTTATATCGATGAATTTTAATGAAAAAATTTCGTTAACTTTTGTTTAGTCTATAAATAAAATTGTCAGTAACATTTGCATTGGTTTTTTTTTAACGATATTTTATTAACTATTTTTTAAAAATTATAGCTCAAAAAAAATAGAATGTAATATTCATAAATAGACTAGTTTAAATTAAAAAAAATCCAAGATCAAAACTTTGACTCACTAATATCACTACTTTTATCTTCCTTTTAATAAAATTACCTCATTTTCTATTCAACTTAAAGCTCATATTTTGAAGTATTTTTATTTTATTAATAATTTATACGATGGTTAATCTGAAAAAGAATTTATCAAATCCTTTTATTAAAATCATAACACAAATTTATTTTATAAATAAAAAATATTAAAATTTTGATGAAAATTTGTCGTCGAATTTCACGAAATTCAACATAAGGGTATGGTTGATAGCACTCTAAGAAAATTGGCAATAAGTTGAACGGACTCCTGAATCAGTGAGCGAAGAAGATAGACATAAAATGAGTAAAAGAAAAAAAAAATGTGAAAAAAGTAGAGACAGAGAATTGAAATGGATGAAGGAATTGGTATGTGTAATCGTCTGTATACCAGACGTATACTATATAAATATAAGCGGAAATTTCCTTTTTTTTACATACAAGTATACAGACGTAACACATAAAATAGAGTGGTATTGGAGCGACAGGATAAAGTACAATACCAACATGTAGAATCGATTATTGGCAGACGATTAAAGACAAAAAGAAGAAACACCTTTTGCTTTTAGTATTGGCA